TAGATAGATAGATAGATAGATAGATAGATAGATAGATAGATAGATAGCCCGTATTTCAACAGGAAATGTGCAATTTCAGCGATTTTGACAATTAAAATGTTCGCAATTAGTCATACATAAAGATCAGTGAACAAATATTATTATGTTATCGTATGTTTTGTCTGGTGATGATGACCGGTGAGGCTCTGCCTCCCCTGACCGCACGTCCCATAAATATATATATACCCATCTATACAATTGCAGTCTGTACCGTTGTTCGTCCGTTGCAGCGATACGTCAACGAGTCCGCCATCTTGGATGTGGCGGAACTGCCCGTAAACTAATAAAATAAAACCGACTGAACTCCATAAAGCGCCTTTCTACAAAGTGCTTTAAGTTGATGCACCTTATTCACCCATTCACACACACACTAATATATCTGGGAAATAAAAAGGCACAAAAAATCCTACGCAACTTTTAAAGCGATGATTGTGCACTATTACTCCTGATGTTTAGGATGTAAGGAAGCACCAAACCAGCGTCTGTACTTATAATACTGAGTGTTTTCAGCCCACTCTCAGCTTTCCCGGTTCAGCCTCACTGATTGAATGCCCAACAGTTGTCAATAGGTTTATGTTAGGTTTGCATCTAATTTGAAAAGGACCATTTGCAAAAGTGAAAGAGCTCAAAAATCAAACTTTATTTACATTTTATTATTTCAACATTTCCACTTTATTGAGATCTTCGACACAATCTTGAGCTGTTGAGCAGTGACATGAGTTAAATCCCCAGGTTGTGTGTGTGTGTGTTTGTGTATTCACTATTCTTTCGTTCCCCGTTGTTAACTTCACCAAAATAAACAGTAGGAAATACATTATCCCACAGAACTGTTTAGGGTTAGTTTTTGGTTGATAAAAACAGTCTTTTTAAATGCTTGGAAATTTCTTTCATTTTCAGTCCATACATGAATGGATTAAAGAGAGGATGGTACAGAATTATCTGTAGTGTCATCACAAATCGAGCTATTTGTGGAAAATCTGATTCCACTCGAGCTATAAACACATCGTATGAAGAAAAAAGCGTGAAGCCGATTAAAACCAAGAGATGAGGTAGACAGGTCTCAAAAGCCTTTCTTCTGAATTCTTTACAGCTTTGATAAGATATTATAAATATTTTTGTGTAAGTAAAAACTGTGAAGAGCACAGGAAGTATTCCAACATCCAATAAAGTAACAACACCAAATGCAGTCAGAAGTTTTGATCTTTCACACAGCAAAGTCAAAATGGAATTATTACAAAAGATTCCTTTGAAACTGTGGCTACATAACTTCGCCTGAGCACACAGGAATACCTGAACCGCAATATGACAAGCAGGTATAACCCACGACAGAACAAGAAAAGCAGTCACAGTGTTTTTTCCCATTAGTGTGGGATAGCTCAGAGGTTTACATATTGACACATATCTGTCATAGGCCATGGCTCC